GTACCGCCGTACATAGATAACCGACCTTTCGCTCATTGGTCCCCTCATTTGGCTGCGTCCTCGCCAGTTTGTCGATCCTGTCGATGAGCTCCTCGAGGATCTCAATTCTCGACTTTCCTTCCATTGTTCTGGCTACAGAGCTAAATGACAATGCCCTCAGCTCCGAGAGGAGCTCGAGGCTCCTATCTTGGGTCTCGAATCGACTTCGGATTGTGTCAACGATGCTGAGAAAGTCGGTTCGATCGATATTACGCACCGCTTGATAGTAGTACTCGGCAGCTTTCCCTGTCAGTATGACATTGACTACCGAATGATATTGGTGTTCTCGGATGCCGACTTTTTCGCAGTAGTCGTAGAACATCGTGAGGGTTTCTTGCAGGACCTCATATCTCCCCCCTGAGTACAATTTCTCTTTTGGAAAGATCTTCTTTAGGTCAGTGAACTGTCTTGTGCTGGCTACCGCTGGATCGTTCTCTTCGCGTGCTTCTCGTGCGGCAGCGTAATTGGGTGGTGTCTGCATTGTCGACCTCGTACTTTGTTGGGTGCTTGGGATCAATCCTCGGATTGGTATTGTCGTTGGGGTCGTCACCGCGATGGGCGGAATCGTCGTCTGACGCGCCTCCGGTGTGATCCCCCTTGTCTGCGCTAGATTGGGCGCCGCGATGTTACCGTTGGTGATCTTCAGCAGAAAGTCCGGTTGGTTCACTCGTCTGCTGAATTCTTCGTACTTTGACACTGCTCTGTCGATCTGATTCTGGTCCCATGGCGTGAAGTCCTCTGCGGCTACTGTCGCTGCGAGTGTCTCGTGGGCCTTTCGCCTTGCCCCTTGGGCTGGCAGAACGCCTCGGCAGTGGAGGAATCTGTTCACCTCCTTGACGACACCGGGATTAGCGCTGGCGAACCATTCATCTTTCCAGTCGCCTAGGTCGTCTACGACTCTGTAGAACAGGGGTTGCCCTTCGAGCCCCTTGCGGGCGTACATCTCCATAATGAAGACTAACGCCGCATCAATTTGCTCGCCATTGGGGTGGTCTGAGTCTCGATATGACCATTTCCCCCAGTACTCCGGATTAATCTCAACCCAATCTTCTGGGATGGGAGTCCTTCCGCGCGTTCTGCGTGCTGACTCGCCCCCTGTCGTCCCTTGGCTTGTGCTTCTGTTTGTAGGGGCCGGCGTGTTTGATCTTGATGGGGATGTGTCAGATCCGCTTGTTGGTCGTGGTAGCAGCGCACTGTCGTCGCTCGCCGTGTTTGTCGGGGTCTGGGAGCTTCCCGCGGCCTCCAACCTCCTTGCGGCGAGCCTCGTCACCATCTGCTCTTGATCTTCTGAATTGGCCGCCATGTTTCTTGTTGACGGTTTTCTCTTCCTGTGGCGTACCCTATCGTATAAGAGAGGTCTTCCGGTGGCCCTCTCTTCGTGTTCTCTCCTCAGACGTCTTCTTGGCTTTCTCCCGTGCCAACTGGGGCAACAGGCTCTTTCTTTGCCTTCGTAGCTCGGCGAGGATGTGTAGTCTGAAGAATTGGGTACCTCACACCCCTTTACGGGGTGAGCGTTGTGATGCTTCTGAATCCCTTCCTTCCTCGTCTCAACTCCGCCTGGCTCTTATTCCTTCGGAACAGCCGAGGGGTGGTGGGTGTAGGTGAGAAGGGGAAGCTTGACCTTGGAATCTCGAAGTCGGTCTTGATGATGGCGATATCGCCGTCGATCCCGGTAGCCTCCTCGGATTCGACCAAGAAATACGCCTGGAGCTACCGGCGGGGTCTGGTTCCTACCTGAACACCCTATTGCCTTGAAAGTTTGTTTCTGTGGTCCTGAGGTGCCTTTTTATATCCTCCAATTGGGCCTGTTTCGTCGTACGGTCGAGATCTGCGGTGGATTTGCCAATCTGGCGAATCTGGTGATTTCGCTTGTTTTCCTCTGTTGGCGTACGGGCCGCCCGTGGATTGTTGAGTAGGACAAATCGCGTGAGGGCGACGTAGGTAGCTTGGTCGCCTTCTCGCGATTCCTTCAATTGCGGTTTGTTTTTGACGTGATGGACGTCGACCTTTCGTGGGCAGTCAAGGGCTGCGATTCCTCTACTTCGTTCCGTCGTAGAGATTCGCGTCTTGTCGCCTGCTTTCCGTCGGGTAGGTAGCACGATTCTCCTGTCGCGTTCCGTTCGAGGAGGTCGTCTCTTCTGCTTGCGAGATGCCTTGCTGATCTGCGATAGTGGGATTTAACCACTGATCAGTGTTGGTATTCCTATCACAGGGATGGTTCGAACCGTGGGTGACGAAGAGGTCAAAATCTATATATATTTAACTTCTGCGTAAGGTGTAAAAAGGAGGTTCTAACCGGAGGTTGGGTAGACCGTAGATCTCGTAAGTATGGTCTGTAAGTGGCCCCTGCGCGGGCCCCTTGCCTCGAGGTCGAATTGGACTTCCAATCCGACAAATACACTCAGCAAAGAGGTCTGGTAAGGTTCTTCATCTGCATGTCCAACCTGCGGTAAGTATTGCCCAACGACGTACCCTATGCCAGCATGCGGGCAAAACATTGGAGAGAGGACAAACTCATTGTGACATGTCGAGACTTCTAAAGAGCGAATCACGACTGTCTGTTGTTGTGGCTGGGTATGGGACTTTCGAATGGGAAATAATTTTCCATGAATGCATCTCTTCTGAGGCACATTAGATTTCGTCGTGGATGCTTATTGGTGATAAAGGCTGGGACATTCAATGGACTAAATCGTTGTCAACCTTTCTCATAAATTGATTAGACCTGTTTCACGAATGCTCTGCTGCTGTCTGAGTGTTGACGGTAAGCCAAATCGAGAGCGTTAGTTGGAAGCCACAGACTGAGACCTGCGTCATCCATAACGTCATCACAGTCTGAGCAAAGAATGAGGTAAGTTGTTTTGATCTCGCAGAAGTTTGCTTTCATATAACGCGCATTGCAATTAAAGTGACATGCACGGATTGATGAAATTCCTCGTCCGAATCTGCGTACTTCAACATGCCTGAAATCGACGTCCTCATTGTCGGGGCAGGCCCCACTGGTCTTACCTTGGCTATCGAGTTAGCCTCGAGAAGAGTCGACTTCCGGATTGTGGAATCAAGGGAAGAAGTATCCGATAAATCAAGAGCGCTCGTTGTGCAGCCCCGGACACAGGAATTGCTCTATCGCTATGGAGATGTCCAGGAACTCATCTCACGGGCACGGCAACCGACTGGCATCGCGACGTGGATCAACCAGAAACCACTTCTCGACATCACGTTTGGCAGCTCCGATGAACTCGCCCGCGAATATGGGACCGACTTCCCGCGGCCTTTGTTGGCATCACAAGCTGAGACGGAACACTTCTTAAGCAAACGCCTGGAGGAGGTTTCGAAGGCCCTGCCTGAACGCGGAACTACGGCACAATCGATCACCCAGGATGAGACCGGTGTTTCGGTGACACTCAAGAGGGGATCAAAAGTCGAAAACTTCCGCTGCAAATATGTTGTTGGCGCAGATGGATCAAACAGCACCGTCCGGGAAGCTGGCACGAACTTCCAGTTCAAAGGCGCAGAATACCCTCAGGAGTTCCTCCTTTGCGACTGTCGCGTCAAGTGGAAGCAGTCGCAGGAAGGCAAGGCGATGTTCATTCTCGGTCAAGGCTCGCTTATTGTCATCCCGCTTGACGACGACGTTATTCGGCTTGCCGGGAGCAGCTGGCTCGGAAAGACAGAAAGAGACCCGACTCTCCAGGACTTCCAAGACCAGCTCGACAAGATGGCGCCAGGCCAAGGGGAGCTCTCCGACCCTATTTGGCTGAGCAAGTTTCACTTGTCCAACCGTGGCGTGAACAGTTATCAAGATGGACGACTTTTCCTGGCAGGAGATTCAGCTCACGTTCATAGCCCTGCCGGTGGCCAGGGCATGAATACTGGCATACAAGACTCGATCAACCTGGGCTGGAAGCTAGCGGAAGTCCTGAACTGTAGGAGGGACCCCAAGTTTCTCGACACATACAACAACGAGAGGTCGCCGGTGGGAAAGACGGTTCTTGCTAGAACTGATCGCATCTTCACAGTCATGACATCGCAGAACTTCGTTGCCACCTTCCTTCGCAACTACTTGGGCCCGATCGTTCAACCTCTAATATTCAAGGACTCGGATCGCTGGAAGATGGCTTACAGATTTTCATCTCAACTCCACATCCGCTACAGGAAGAGCGACATCGTTGCTACTGGAAGCAACTTTAATGGTCCAGTGCGTGGAGGAGATAGAGCCCCGAATGGCACCTTGATAGGTCCGGACGGGCAGGGGAAGCTTCATGATCTCTTCCGCTCTTTGGACTACCAGCTTCTTCTGTTTACTGGACTGGGCGAGAATTTCGCTTCCGAGAAGGAGCTGAATGCTGCTGCTTCTGGCTGTGGACCTATTGGTGTCCACATCATCTCCAGTCAAGAGGATGTGGGGTATTTTGATCAAGGCGGGAGCTTGCACAAGTTGTATGGATTTGACAACCCCGGGTATGTCTACGTTCGTCCAGATGCCTATACGGAACATATTGGCTTGCTTGACAGAATTGATGAGCTTGAAGCATGGATGGCAAAGAATAGGCAAGTGTATGCTTAGACCTGGAAGCCTGAGATGTACGTGACGTTGTCACGATTCCTGGATTCACATGTGTAATTGGACTCTAACGGTAGCCAATTTCCTCGGAAAACTTGACCTTTGACCCATGCATTGACTAAGCAAATTATCAAGTAATTATAAGCCCAGCTGCTAAAGTTGCAAGGCTTGTGCTCGAGACAGACGGGACTGTGGTAACATTTGACCGCGGGAAAGGTGTCACCCTCGGGCAAGTTGAGGTGCCCCTCAGCCCCGCTACCCGCGGCAAAGTCACACATGTTGTTATCAACCCAGATAAATACTGATGTTACTGCAACTTCTGAACGTACATGAAGTGAAACATCGCCGGAGCTTACTTTTATCCTTACGAGCATCATTATCCCTCCAACAATTATTCATCATGGCCTCCGAGAGCACAGCCGCCTTCTGGGCGAAGACCGACAAATATTTGATGTCCACGGGGGTCCCTTACTCTCCCGTTATCATCACCAAGGCCAAGGGCACGAAGCTCTATGATGCTGAAGGTCGTCAAATCTTGGACTTCACGTCTGGTCAAATGAGCTCTCTCCTGGGCCATTCACACCCGGAAATCGTTGAGGTGGTTCAGAGGTATGTCGCTGAGCTCGATCACCTGCTCAGCAATATGATCACTCAGCCTGTCGCCGACCTTGCTGAGAGATTGGGCAAGCTGCTGCCCGCTCCTCTGGAAAAGGTGACCCTCCCATTGCTTGGTCTGTCTGAAGCATGTTGGCTGATATCCGCCCAAAGTCCTTCTTCTTGAATACCGGTTCAGAAACCACAGAAGCTGCCATTAAGATGGCAAAGCTCCACACCGGCAAATTCGAAATTGTCGCCATGTCAGCAAGTTACCACGGCCTGACTTCAGGTTCCGGTTCCGCCACCTACTCCGCCGGCCGAAAGAACGGCGGCCCCGCAATGCCGGGCCAACTCGCGTTCCCGGCACCTTATGCCTACCGCTCCATCTTCCGCACGGCCGACGGCGCCTACGACTGGGAGAAGGAGATGGACTTCGGCTGGTCCATGATTGATAGACAGAGCGTTGGGTCTCTGGCGGCGTTCATTATGGAGCCGATCTTGTCTACGGGTGGCATTCTTGACCTTCCCAAGGGCTATCTCAAGCGTCTTGGCGAGGAGTGCAAGAAGCGCGGCATGTTGCTTATTCTCGATGAGGCGCAGACTGGTGTAGGCCGCACTGGCCAGATGTTCGCTTTCGAGCACGACAACACCGTTCCGGACATTCTATGCTTGTCCAAGACTTTGGGATGCGGTCTGCCTTTAGCGTCTGTCAGCACGACCGCCGCGGTTGCGCAAGGATGCAAAGACGCTGGCTTCCTCTGGCTGACAACGCATCTCAATGATCCCCTCACAGCCGCTGTTGGCAACAAGGTTCTTGAAATTGTGGAACGCGACAACATTTGCCAGCGCGCTACCGACCGCGGAGAACAGCTTCGGGCCGGTCTTCTGAAGCTTCAGGAGAAGTACTGGTGCATCGGCGACGTTCGTGGACGTGGGTTGCTTCAGGGCATCGAGATTATTTCCGATGCCAAGACGAAAGCACCTGGATCAGACCTTGGCCAGGCCGTTTCTGATAGGGCGATGTTCTTGGGACTGTCGTGTAACGTTGTCAATCTGCCGGGAATGGGCGGCGTGTTCCGACTCGCGCCTCCGGTAACTGTGAATGCGGAGGAGATTGAGGAGGGTCTGAGGATATTGGATGAGGCCTTTGGCTATGTCCTAGAGCAACGAGAGAAGAAGATTCCCGTAGTATGAGAGGTTCATTACTGTCGAGAACAATTCAATGAGCTTGCCTGTGCATCCGACCTGTGTCCGCAAGTCACGAGATGACCAGAAAATATCATCCTTGAACAACACATTCGTCAGATTACGTTCAATCCTGAGCCCTTTCGGTCAGTCGAATTGAGTACGAGACTGCGCTATCTAGCTTGTTGAACCAAATCGATGAATTTGCCTTTGAGTGCCTGGATTGCCCTGATTGGGCGTGGTCGTCAGCCGCCGTGCCGGGAAACATTTAGTCAGAGACCCGCAGGGTTCGGAGCCCTGCCTCACGATTCATGAGCCCCCTTTCTCGCTAAGTCCTCATCCATATCCAGCGGCGGACATAGCTCAGTTGGGAGAGCGTCAGACTGAAGTTAACTTCAATCACTTAATCTGAAGGTCGTGTGTTCAATCCACACTGGCCGCAAGGAATATCTTTTGCTCGGCGGTCTGTTATTCAGTGAACTTGCCTTGCTTTTTGAGCTGACTAGCCTCGATCCGTACGAGACTCTGTGAGCTGAGGCCAGAGTATGCACGGTTGAGTTTTGCCCTAAAACTTCTTGATTTGACAGAATGGCAACCCATCACTTCGCCGTTGGCGCAATTGACAACCAGGCTTTCAAAATCATGCCATTATCCAGCAAATACACAGTGGAAAAAATTGTCGGCGCATGATTCGCGATTGAGGCGGTCGCCCCGCTCTTGGTCAGTACTAACTAAGTAGGCACCAAGTACACAAATTAGACGAGTGCCGAATTTATCACTGGGTAATACGTTAAGGCAGTGCGCAAGACGAACGCTTGGTCCGTGAACCGGTGAGTTTCTGTACCGTTCATCTAAACCTCGACATGAGCTTGTACGCCTGCGATTTCATTTGGTCCGGTTTTATGTCGCAGTCGGGCCAGATTCATACTTGTCTGCCCACTTGTTTCTGATTTTCGTGGAGGAAACCCATAGTGTCTGCAGAAATAGTATCCAATGAACGTCTATTTGACTTGGTCCCAGGAAGGCCTACTTAGTAACAAAGCTAGACAACGTCATAGCACTTGCCACTGATACCCGTCCAACCGCCGGATAGTGGCTTCATGACTTTTCATATACGAACTAGATGGCTTCGGAGGGAGAGATATTAGAGATCAGAGCGCGAAAGATTAACAGATCACGCCACCGTACTCTACCATTCTATCGAGAACTTTAGGACCAGATCCTTACCTCCTCGCCACTGTCGGCTACGCTTAGAGCCACCGATATTTCTGAATAGATCATTGGGGCCGACCATGGAATGGGGCAGGCCCGTGATATTTGGGTGGATATGAAGACGCAGCCTAAGTGACTAATTACAGAAAACTTTTCGTCGATAGATTTCCTGCAAGAAGCCAAACGCCGCTCACCTTTCCATCACGCTCAGATCCCGGCTCAAATAAATTTCTTAGATGCTCGTATATGAAGTTAAATGCGGAAAAGCTCGGAGTTTTCCCGGCGCGGTGGGGGTCAGAATGTATTTCAACAGCATCAGAGAAGTCCGAACCCCTCGTTCTCGTATACCAGCTGCAAAACCTAACGTCAAGTTCGGCACTCTGTCATGACCGCGACTTCATCTTCGCACTGCGGTTGTCGGTAGCCGCTCGTAGCTTTGGATCCTAAATAAATGAGCTCTGGAGCAGCTGCGACTTGCCACAATACGTCAGGCCCACATGAGGCGAGTCAAGAAGTGTGTATCAACGACTGGCCCAGATTCGGAACTCAAGAACATAAGCTATTTGAGACATCGCTGCTTATTGTGAATATTGAATGCGCGGAATGATTGCATACTAGATTCCAGTATTTGCGAGGAGTAAAAGGACCTCTAGTCTTGCAGTAATTTGGCGCTTTTCTCGTAACAAGTCCGAAAAATGACTCAGCTAGATGGGCAATCCTAAAGAATGATGAGTGCTAGTTCTTTAACGACTCAAGAAACTCGAGGCAAGCAGACAAACGTGTATAAAGCAGCCACCTTGTATATTCATAGCTACTTACAGCGGCGAATCTTCAGCACATGGCTAGTGCAGAAATCCCTTTCTTCTGGAGCTAATCTATCAGCTGGTCGAATGCATAGTTCACAACGGAGATTGTATCAATTTATAGACCTTGATTCAATCTCTTCATTAAACACCAGCACATTGAGATCATGCGCTGCCTTACTGGAACATCAAAGACGTTCTCGAATTGCATCTAACCTCACACTGGGGAAAGTACCACGCAGACCAGCCGCTACAGGCTAGCCTCGGAGCCACGTCAGCTGCGCTCGCTTACTGACAAACGGTTCGCTTCTGACAACAATGTACTCCGTAATAAATACATTTCATATGCCTGATTGCATTATTGGTCAGTTGGTTCACAACATACTCAGGAGTCAGGAGGTTCTATCCTTGCGGGCGAGAGGCCTCTTCCAATAACTCGAGGCACGTTACGCTTACCTTTACAGCTGCATTTCGTATTGCAAATAGAAGAAAGCATCTCGCCCCCCTTTTGTGTTTTTTATCATGTTCTATATAAATAATAAAACACGTCGACTATGGAACTCAACTCTACTGTTCAACAACAAGCATGACCAATGAGACTCATGAACACTACCTCGTTCGAGCTTCAATCTGGGGAGCAGTCCATATTTCGTGAAGAAGGCTATGCCATTCTGTCACACCGATGGTTGCCGTCAGAAATCAGGTTCAACGAGTCTCGTAATCATGCCGAAGAACTCAAGAATGGCATAGGACCCCTGAACTTACCATTGGACAAGAAACCGAGTCGATCAACTCCATGTTCAAGTGGTACCGCGATGCAAAGCTGTGTATCGTGTACCTTTCGGACGTTGAGTCAAACACCAGCCTTGAGAAGACAGACCCTCAGATATTCAATCGCATCGGCAGGGAATAACCGTCTGAGTGGTTCTGTCGAGGATGGACCTTGCAGGAGATGCTGGCACCACGAGATCTAAACTTTTTTGACGGAACGTGGACTTACATGGGTACACGAGCAGAACTCATGGTCCCATTAGAAAAGGCCAGCGGCGTTTCCAGGAGATACTTGACTGGCTTACAAGACCTTATCAAGGTCTGCATTGCTGCGAAGATGAGTTGGATGGCAGACCGACATACGAGTCGAGAGGAAGACAACGCTTACAGTATGCTCGGCATCTTGAACGTATTCATGACACCCCAGTATGGCGAAGGGCCACGCGCCTTCCAGCGTTTGCAAGAAACGATATTATCCATCCAGGTGATGGACGAGTCTTTGTTCGCCTGAAGAATGCCCGAGCCCACATCTGGGGAGATGTTCAGTAGCACGCATGAGGGTTGGGCACCAGACGAATGGGGCCTCCTTGCCCCCTCACCTACATGGTTCAGAGACTGTGGTACAGTGACCTGTAGCGATGAGCTACCTTCGCGTATTTTCGCTTGGACAGCACAAGGCATCGAGGGAAACTTCATCAGGAGTCTGGACACCCGCAATACCATTCGGATGGGAGTTCTTACAGGTGCTCTTCTCGGATCAATTATTTGCTTGCCTTGTGGAGTCCTGATGGCTCTTCACGGCATTCGCTACTTCGAGAAGAAGTTCTACGGAGACTACGCCTTCGTATTGAACTGCTTCGACACCAATGCCACAGGGGAGGTGACGCCGATTAGCATCTTCCTTCGTGTTTGGCGAAACCTAGCTGAGCGGCAAATGACAACGTCCACCCCTCAAATTCCCGGATATCGGCGAGTTCGATGCACTGAATACGGCACCAACGAAAAGGGCAGTCCTTACAGTTCAAGGCACAAAGCTGTAGTGTACCAGCCAGTGCCACAAATTTCTGATTAGCACCATAATGTTGCCGACTACGACCAAATATCTGGGATAGGCATTTGGAGTTGGAAAAAGTAATTCTGTAATTTCTAAGTACAAGACTTACTGTCGACTTTTAGCTTCTACAGGATCTTTAGCCATCTATGGTCCATATGAGCTTCCAGGGAGGAGGATCAGATTGATATGGCACAGACAAAAATGTATGCGGCGAGATGATATCTTCTTCACACACAGGCGTTTCCTCAGAGGCATGTGAGGGATGACGGCAGTCAGGAGCAGATTAACCACAAATCACAGATTCATCTGGGTCTCTGAGCCCTGACAGCCTGAGTTACAACGCCGGCTCAGAAGTCTGGCAACACCAATAAGGGTCACATGATTTCTCCCACCAAAACCACCCCTACAACTCTCCACTTGATCAACAATACACTATTTTGTGAAGAAAGTATCTCAACTTTTAGAAATATACTATTCAAGGACTTATCTTAGCGAGTACAGAGATACAAATTGTCTTTGATTTCAATAGGAGTTGATATTGTAAGTAGGTGAGGAATGGGAGAAATCCCACGTGACCCTTATTGGTGTTGCCAGACTTTGCTGTGATCAACACCGGTACGCCACAGTGAAGTCACAAGTGCCTTGAGTGAAGTTCAAGTGGATTTGAGCCTCGTGTAGTAAAGTCATGAGACCGATCGGTCTTTGCTACAGTCAGAGTTTCAATTTTCTCACTTGGTTCGGTTTCGAATTACTTCAAGTTTCTTACCATTTGTCCCACCTATGGTACATGTGCCCTCCTATACTATACAAGGCTGTGCTTATTCAAACCTCGACCCTATCAGAAAAAGTGCGGTTAATCAAACGCTTGACTTTATTACTCAATTTGCTCTCGAATCATTTCTCCTCGAGTGACACGCAAGATCCGCGTTTGGTGGACCAGGCATGCCTTGTTTCCCAATTATCACAAAATGCGGCATGGGTTGTTCTGTATCTATCGAAATACCTTCGCATTCATGAATCTCTTCGGCGTTTTTGACCTCGACATCGGGCCTTCAAAGTGTCGGGCAAGTCCGGACTATGCAATCTTTGATAATGCAATCTCACAAGGTCCAGCCGGATGTCTTCAAAGTTGCACCCGTCTTGTGGACATACTATCCTCGCGACATTCTCCTCGTGTTCTTTTTGTTTGTGCTTCCAGAGCCCGGAGCCTGTCTTGTATGTTTTCGTGCAGTTCGGGCCATCACAACGATAGGCTTTCCCATGAGCCTGTCTGTTTCCGGTCAGTCAACTTTGTGGATCTGGGAGGAGCTGGGGAGACGAAACCTGAACTTACGCGTCTTGTGTTACCGATGGAAAATTCTCTTGTTTTGCCTTTGTAGCCGAACGAGTGGAAGCTTCCGTGCTAGAAGTATGGGACCCGGAGGAGCGGTAAAGCCAACGAACGAACTTCACGTGCTCATGACCAGGCTCGATGACTTCAAGTTCCTATTGAGAGGTGTCAGATTGGTATGAGTAGAAATTGTTCGATCCTGAGATTAAATCTTACGCGAGAGATGGCGACCAAGTAGTCTTGAGCATGTTCAAGAGTTGACAGACTGCCCAATATTACAAAGCTCTTGGCGACTGAGAGCAGCGCAAGAAATACCACATTGCCTTTCCCAGAAGTTTTCATCGGATCAAACAAATCCTTTCGTAGTCTCTTCTCGGATTTAGATCTCTCCCTAGCGTATGCTGAGCTTCTGCTGGTAGCGTGAACAGTTTTACCACAGCCTGATAGTCGATAGAAGACATCGCCTGTATCTTGCGAGAAAGCGAGCACGACCAAGAACATTGGGGTATCTCTCAACTTGAATATTGCAGTGTCGCTGTCTCTGTTGAGACACTTGAAGTTGATGATGTTCTGTTTCACTGCAGGGTCATCCGGAATAATAGAGGGGCACTCCTTGGCGGGAGGCGGCGACTGCGGCCGCATATAAGGATTTTCCACGGGCAAGAAGGTCTCAGAGGGAATGTGGCCGACTGACAGACCTGATGAATAGTATCCTGGACTTTTCGGGTCGTTGTTTTGGCCAAGTCTTACTTCAGCGCCATCGAGATCTCCCAACAGATACGAAAATTGACCGAAGTCGAACTCTTCGTTGGTATCATCTGTGATGTTCATAACATCACCCTCCAGCGATGGAACCTCGAATGAATGTTGTTGATCGTAGGCCGAAGATGGTAATGTGTCTGATAGCACCTCTATCCCACGCGAAGTGGATAGAGCTGCATCTCGTATGTCCTTTGATGGGCTGCTCTGCTCAACACCTTTCTGAAAGGGCTGAAAGTTGAGTGTTTGTAGAGGACCATTATTCTCCAACCTTGAACGCTTATCTCTGTGGTGATGCGAATCTTTGTCGTCGTCTTGGCCGCTTCGTTTCCCGATGTCGTCTGTAGTCCGGAGATGCTCTAGAGGCCACATCTTCGAAGCAAATGAAGCGAAGACCTTCCGATCGTCGACATTCGTGATGCAGTCCCCCCAACGCTGTAAACCAGAAAGAATGTCGGTTTTGGCGACCCGACCGCGTTGGAATAGGAGGCCCGAGATGACGTAGGAAACTGCCGTGAACGCGACAACTTCAACGAGAGTATCCGGAATAACGAAGTCGAGCACGTCTCTGTAAGCCAAGATGCCCATTTCTCCCATTGTTTTGGGATTTGCATAAGCCTGCGAAAGTTTCTGTATGTTGGTTGAGGATGCCTCGGAGGCTATGCTCTTGAGCCGTTGGTGCTGGTGTTCCAGGCCTTTTCGTAGACCTCGAAGGCCTGACCACGCCCGCTTGATCTCATTTGTTCGCATCTCCACTTCCGAGACATACTGTGCTTCCATATGTTGGAAATCGGTGGGACTGATGTCGCACGTGTCTTCAAAGAATGCCCCGAAGTGGTCGTTGTTTGTCCAAGATGGCTCGCGTTGAGACTTCTCCTGGACATCTCCCAAACACACTTTCTCAAGATATGTGAGACCTGCAAACATGCCATCAACCTCAGCTAGAGCACGTTGTCTTCTCTCGCTCCCATCAATTGCCATCGCGCTCAGAGGGTGCGGTGCAGTGTCGTCATTAATCCAGGCCTGCACTCGCTCCTCCTGTAAACGTCGAGCTTCGAATTTGGAGGTGTTCGCGGCTCCGGTGCTTGAGGACATCGCGGTGATTTCGGCAGATCAGAGATAGAGCGCAGGACCACGGAATTGCGATTTTCGAAGAGCCAATGAAAGAGCGACTGATGTGAGTTGTCGTTCAAGGTTGGGAATTGGCGATGGAGATAATTACTGCTGTGCTGCTAGAGCCTTTAGTACACAACGAGGAAATGGGGGTGGACAAATCTGGACGTGCTTCGTTCCAACGCGTTTCCTCGAACCCCCCATGCACCGTTGACCGAGTACATACTACGCTGTTTGTCCATTTTTGTTCCTCAACGAATTGGGAGAACGCTAGCAAGCGGCTATTGGCTGCAGTCCAGCCACTGGCGCATCAACCCAAAGCATTGCGCGAATCACCAACGTCTGCTTTGAAATCACGTTTGGCTTTTTTCAACCTAGCAGACCAGGCAATGAAAATAGAGGTGCGATTCAGATTTTTCGTAACAAGGCACAATGCTGAATCATTCCATCATTTATAGACTGATATAGTCATATCCCTCATGCCTTCCCAGCACTGCCGCAAATGTCAATCCACCTCTCTGTCTCCTTCTGTAAGATGTTCATGCCGTCCTCCATTAGTTGCGTCAGTGGCTTGCTGGCGTTCTCCCTGAGATGGACGTTCCAGACCTCCAGAAGCAGCTTGTTGACATTCAGTTTTATGGCGCCGTTATCGATGCATTTCCTCATGATCTCTGGACTGAAGTCGTTTGTGCCATGCAAAGCCATGAGGACACGGCTATTGATTTGCTTGTTGACATTTGTCAAGCGCTGGTAATCGAGTTGAGGGCCCTTGGGGCCGTAGTCTCCGTGTATGTTGCCGATGCTGGGTGCCAAGAGATCAATCTCGGCATCGATGAAGTCTTCGACCTCCTCAGGACTCGTGAATAGAGCTACTGAAGTTAGCGGATGAAGGACATGGGGCCTGCTGGGCTGGTCTCTACTTAGACTTACCTTCCAAGTCGCCAGTGTCTGCAATGCCGTCTTCTCCGCCATTGATGCGTCCACTTTCCGCCTCGACAGCGATGTTATGGTCGTGGCAGACCCTCGTCAAACCCTTGGTCTTGGCGAGATTCTCCTCGTGATCGTAGTGGCTCATGTCAACCATGATTGAGTCAAATGGCAAAGTTCCCGCGATGTCGCGAATTTGCTGCTCATCTTGGGCGTGGTCGAGGTGTAGGGCAAGTGGAACCTTTGCCGATTTGATGGCTGCGGCGACGGCCCACGGTAGAGTTGGGAGCTGCTTCACGGTAAGAGGAAATAAGAGAATCAGCATGGGTGATTTCTTGGCCTCTGCTGCGCGAACAACAGCAGTGAGGTGCTCAATGTTGTAGCTGAAGCAGGTCTTAGTCTCATGTCCTCCTGACTAGGTGTCATGGTAGCTGATGGTACTTACATGACCACGGAGAGAACTCCATACTTGCCCTCAGTCGCAGCTTGGAGAATCTGCAGACTGCGGTTTTGCGACTTGATTTCCGCCCAGGAAGACATTGTAAAGGTTTCGTGGACAATTCCGTGAACTCCAGAAAGAATAGAGGGAGCAGGAGACTGATCACACTCTGGAGATCAAGCTTGAATTGTTGACAATGCCCACCTCTTATCGTCAGACTCAGGTGAGTTGTGTCATTGGAAACTCGGCGGAATGGCCGATGCCCCGCGTTCCATCGCTGAGAACCCCGCGATCAGAGTTTCTGGGGTGGAACTAGGGAGTACGTACCTCGAGGCCGCCCCTCTCGATTTCCGGAGTTGAACTGAGAACACGGCGACTTTCGCTGCAATCTCAAGGCCAGTGATGGAAACCCGGGGCTCTGTTAACAGAAACACACAGAATGTGAGACTTCCATGTACTCTCGAGGAAAGCTCCCGTTGATATGAACTCGCATCTGTCGCAGTTGAGATCACGCTGAGCTAGCTTGGTCGCTGCCTTGAAAACCCCGACAGAAGCCGAGGTGAGCTGAACCCCGATCAACAGTGAGCTGGTGCACTGTTGCGGAATTTCCGTACCGTCAATACCTATCCGCGATCGTCAAGGATATGTAGCGGAGTTTGGCCGGCAGATGGAGAACAATGTTGAATCTCATGCTCCCTTCCATATATCAGACTTCCCTGCTCAGAAGAGATGACCCCGAGCGTTCATTATCCTCACTGTTGATGGTCGCGAAAGCTCGGATACGCGGCACAGCTCACTTCTGGGCCATTTTAGCGGGCGAACCGCCAAGTCCTGAGCTGGCATTCGACTTATCCAACTCCCAAACAGACCGCCTCTGGGTGTGTCATCCAGCCTGGTGTGGACATGGACGGTTCATCTTACAGACCGTATGAGTCTGAGGCTCTCCTGAGACTTCTTAGCATTCTTAATATCTTTGTGTCGCTTTTTCAACATGAGGGAGTGTTCGCCAACGGGCGGTTTTCAGGGCTGAGGCCCCAAAACGTATCTCAGCAAAAACCGCCGTTGCCTGTGGCCTTTATTGTCCAGGTGATGCTCGTAGCTGGCCACGAGGAGTTAGCGTAGGCTGATCCTTCTGCACACCACCCGCGAAACCTCCAATCCGAGGTGATGGTCCTCTGAGGCTCGGTCCGCAGCTTGTCCTCGGGACTAGAGGAAATTGAGGCTGGCGAATGGTCCAGCCTGCCACCGTCAGCAATAACTATGCAGCCTGTCTGCAGGTCATGCAGACTCACAGGGTTTAGGTTGCCTTGGTGGCTGCATAAGCAAACAGGCGTCCGGTATGATGACTGCGCTGTCGACATTCGAAGACAAACGGAATGAGCTTGGCAAGAATCTCAAATTTCCTTATGCAAGACTGTATCCCAGGTCGCTCTTCGCAAAATACTTTCATGTCATTTTCTCGGTAATCCAGAGTGATGAGGCAATATGTCGGAGTACAAGGACTGGACGCGCGAGACTGAGAACGCGGTCCTTGACGAAGTCGCAGCCGCTCAGCGCGACAGCCCCGAGCGTACTGATCCGCCCCAGACAATTCCACCCGGCCAGCCTTCGGAGGACACGCAAGTTGATAGAACCGAATCGCCTCCGCGGCCAAGTAATTCATCGCACTGGGAACCCCGGCCAGGTTTCGCGCACATCGACGGCGATGTTAACGGACGCGGGTACAATGAGACGTTGGTCGACATCGTCTGCGTGCCATGTCCCGGAGCCGACCCGGTCGAGACCTGGGCCCGCGATCCACTGCCAGATGGGTACTTCGGACGGGCCGCCGATGTGCCGCCGACTGCTTTGAAAGAGCTCGCGGGAGCTAGTATTCTGTCGCCGACCATCAACCGGCATCTTCCCAAGGCAACGCATCTTTGGGTGAGACAGGGGATTCGAAAGGAGGTCAGCGAGGCTCGCGTGCTACTTTACCGGCATCGCGAGTTGGTTGAGGGAATCACGTTGGAAGACCTTGCGAACGATTTGATCGAGCAAGTATGGAACACAAGATATGGCAATGTGAGTTCCAACACCGCTTCTTTCGTGGTTTCACGGGGTGACATGGCTTCAGCAACGGTCTCGTCCATTATTCTTCATCGCGCATAGCATTGGCGGCTTAGTCGTTAAGTTGGCTCTTTTGAAAGCAATCAAGAGTGAACTATTCAAGCCATTCATGTATAACTGCCATGGAGTTACCTTTTTCGGTAAGCCTTTTCCCTCATTTCACGACATTGAGATAATTTTTAGATGCTGATATCATCGCAGCAACGCCGCACAAGGGCTCAAGCTATCTGTCAATGAATAACCTTGAGGGCAGTATTCGCCACCTTCTTCGTCTCCAGCGACCACTTCCACGCTCGATATCCAATGATTTGAGATTAGGCCACAAGCCGCTTCTCAAGATGGACGAGGAATTCTCAACTATTGCAAGCGAGCTCAGAATCTGGTCTTTCTATGAGACTATCGACTCCCAGCTTTCGGGCTCTGGGTCAACGAGTCGAGGCTTAGCGAAGGAAGTCCGATTCGGTGCTCCCATTGCTTCCATCAAGTCATCATTACTAGGCGTGAGGCAGGAACGAGTATTTTCTCTGGATAGCGAGCATGCAAACTGCGCATCTTTTGGCGAGGGAAATACAGAGACGATGAACACATATCTGCACGAACTCTCCGCTGCGGTCCAAAAGGCGACGGATCTTAGTTCCCAGTATATACACACGCCGTTGAATCTCAAGAGACACATCAAAGTCGAGATAATCGGCTTCTATGAAGACCCAGACGCAGATATGGAGTCCGCCATTCGTCTGTACTTCACGAAGCTTCATCTACAAGAGTTTCTGGACAAAGGCCCCGAACGGTGCCTGGAAGAGCGATTAAGAAGATCCACACTCCGGCCGCGGTCCGATCCCAATCCGCCTCACCCAAGCCAGGAAGAATCACAGCATAGCTCTCATGGTTTAGGTATCATGGCTGGTTTCCAAGAGCTGGGGCAAAAGATATGGCGAGCTGGCTCAGACACTGGGAGTCGGCCCAAGAGCTCGGATTCAGAAAGCCAGGGCTCGCCCGGCATCGTCGTCACTCGCCCTTCCATGGCTGGGGGCTCTAATTCGATGCCTGTGGACGCTCTTCGTCGAATGCAAAGCCTCAAGGTGCCGGCTTTATCTCCGCCTGGGTTCAATCGGCCATCCAGCCGAGCCAGCAACGCCGACAGCACACGATCAGATCCAACGGAACTAGAGTTATCACCAAGGACGCCAGATCCCGAGCCTTTTGCGGCAGCAGGCATGGAGAAGAGCTATTCGGAGCCACTTTCTAGACGGCAAGATCGATACTCGAGAGCTTCCGCCTTGGAGGACCTGACAGCTGGGTTCTCCAGACCTGATCCGACTGGCAGAAAGTTCATGTGGATTCACACTCCGTTTACTAATCCCTCTTGGGTCAAGGTAGGATCGAGGGCGCAATATGCTCAGAGTCGCGCTAATGAACGTACTGCAGGATGTTTTTGGTGTTCTAGCCAACCCTAACGACCCAAGCTTCGTGAAACTCTTTAATCATGATAACTGGGCATCGAAGCATGTGATTGGAAGGCATTCCCAATCGCAAGCGTCATTCGTCAAACCGGCCTGCAACATGATTCCTCTCAACTCCGGTAAGATAATGAACGACTCGGGAATTACCTTAGTGCAACACAAGCTGATCATGTCAAAAGTCCCCTCACCTCATCCATCACCCAAACTCTCGGGTCGTGTTAGTCCAGCTGGGCCTTCATCAGCGTATCTGTACATGTACCTTCCATTTCTGCATTTCGACACGTACATCGACATTGTCCGCCGACGCAACTTCATCAAACAACGCATGCAGCACGGCAGATCTCGTCCTGTTCCGCGAGACATTGCGCAGCTAGACTCTGCGGAACTTCGAATGATCTGGGAGTACATAGGATATGACCCGCCGCTCAACTATCGCCGGACTCTAGATCAGTTTGCGTATCCTTCCTTGAGAGACACCTGGGCCCGCGATGATGATCAGATGCTTTATAAGCTGACCAAGGACCGCGCTTCCACTGGTGTTGACATGGAACAGCTAGGGCTCCAGAGGAGACAGACCTCAGGGTCGACATGGAGCCCGATGAACAAGCTGACGCCTTCGAGCACGGGGTTGCTGGAGGAAGATGTCAATACGGATGAAGAAGACCAAGATCTCGACGAGGTCATCAAGGATGGCAAGGTTTTGATGGTTGACGAGCTTTGGCTATGGGCCATCGACACCAGTAGGTCGTCCCAGATCGAATTGTTGGGGGAAGCAAGTAGGGAACTGACAAAACATCGTAGAAACCTTGACCACATTCTTCAATAGAAGGGAGTCAAAGCCTAAGGAGGGACCCCTGTTCCAGCAGGCAGATCTCAGAAATAGCGTATACAATGAGCTAAACGGCGATCTCACAGGCCGTTGTGAGAATGCACTGGACCTTGCAGCCTTCATTGTACTCCACGCAGTCACCGTTCTACTTGACCGGGCTTCGCATCCAGACCTCGAGATCTTCAGGATCTTTGAAGAGGCAATCAGCATGCTCGTAAGTTACCTTTGGTCTATATTCAAGATCTCTAGCCCTGAGACTAACGGGTAAAGACTGAGCGTATGACTTCCTCCTTGAAGCACTTCCGCATGCAGACGTTCAAAGATGTGGGCTTCGATTCGGACTCGGACAGCAACCGGCCGGAATCCATCAAGAGGCGCCACAAGCGGGAGCTCGAAGAAGCCGAGCGAGAGAACCGCGAGAACACGTCAGCGCTGATGGAACTCAGGGATCTAGAGGATGAGCTCAAGTCTCTCGAAAGGCTATTTGAAACCCAGGATGGTGTAGTTCGAAACATGAAGTCTATTTTTGAGGGAGAAGACCTCAAAAGTGTGACAAAGAACGGACAGATGTACCTGGAAGAAGCGTTAGCCAAGCTCGATGAGTATAAGAGTCAGACGCTTGAGATGATGAAAAGAGTTGACACGACGAGAAATGATGTGAGTGCTTTTCTGTTCAAGCCTACACCCTTGGCTCCAGAATGTCTACTAACGAATTACAGTACGAGAAACTTCTGGAAATGGTCCAACGCAAGGCTCAAGTCGACGAAGTTCGATGGTCTCGACTTCAAACCGAGCTGGCCTCCTCGCAAAATCTCTCCGTCATGATCTTCACCACATTTACCGTCATTTTCCTCCCTTTGTCCTTCTTCACGAGCCTATTCGGTATGAACACAGTCGAATGGAGCGAACAACTCCCGACCATCGGCTTCGTTGGCGCTGTCTCACTACCCCTATCCGTTTTCATAATTGCAGCAGCACTCATCGCGGCGTTCAGCAGTCGTGTACAAGGAATCGTTCGAATGGGGTATAAGAGTGGTAAGAAAGTTGTACTATTCATAGCATCTGGCATCAAGAAGGTTGTGCCACGAAAGAAGAGGGAGAAGAGACGTGTCAATAAGTTGGAACGGGAAGAGAGACGCACGAAGAGGAAAGATGGCGGATATGACTTCTGGGAGAATGTGAGGATGGAGAGAGCAAGCGTGTATCGGATTCCGGATGTTAATCGCAACAAAACGGAAGCATGATACCAACTAGCTTTCAGGGACAATCGTTCAATCAATCATGTTGCTTATAATTATTTACAAGAACGTTCAAGAGCGTATAGCGCTGTTGCTTCCAAGTTTTGGGGCCAGTGATAGCAACATACTTCATCAGGTTAACGCGGGCAGCCCAGCAATGGACCTCCAACTTTGGGTACGCAGTAACCCGGAGTCACCGTCCCACCCGTGAATGTGCTTGCAGCATTCTTTTTCGAGGGTCCAAAGGTCGCCTTATTCGTCGCCTGAACGTTCGACTTGGCCTCGGCGCACTTCAAGTTGAGATCGCTGCATTTATTCTCCCCAAGCTGGCACGATGGGACACAACCGCACGCGATACTTCCTTGCGAGTTATTTCCACAGGAGACCGGGATGTTAAACATCGGTGTCCCGCCATTGGGACATTTCGAAATCGCTTGCGGACTGGTGTCGCACAGCTGAAACGTTACCATTTTCGTTGAAAAGCCCTGCGCTGCCGGGAGTCCGTTGGCAGTCTCCGGATCGTAGTCGACTGTGTACTCAATCGCCGTCTTGAGTGTGGACAGCGGAACTGGAGTGGCCTTTGGCGGCGCTTTCGGTACCGCGCCGTTGCGGGCGGTGTACCCCGTCGAGCCCTCCACGCACATGCTGTCATCTTCAAAGGCAGCGCGGGCAACGTCTCGCCATAGAACAGTCATGTTATTCACGTTGTCGAGGGTGTAGTACAAGCGGCAGTCGGCCGCAGAGTAGCGGAACTGGAGCGGGGTGGAGACGTCGTCCGCGCGGAGCTGGTCCCGGAGATTGAAAGCCGCGTAGCTGACGTACATGCCTGACTCACGGACGTCGGGTAGCCTGGCTGCGGCAGTCTCGCTCTTGTCCCGGGCAAGGGCGAAGTCGTTGTCAAGGAAGTTGCCAGAGTAGATGCGGGCTCCGCGAGTACCGCCCGCCGCTTGCATTGGGCCGGGCTTGGGGGAACCGCCTACGACGATGGTGCGGGCTTTGCCTTGGGTGGTGGCCAGCTCGAGGAAGAGAGCACAAGCGGATGAGCAGGCACCATCGGTGAGCTGGGAGGCATGTCAGTCTAAAGTTTCTACAGCTCATGAGCTAAACGGTTGATTCGACTTACAATGACGATGTTTTCCGGCTTGAACGGTGGAGACTTGCCAACGTCTTCGTTGTCGATGTAGCGGTTCATCAGCCAACCATCAAAAGCGGCCTGGTGAAAATACGGGTTGGATAGGTCATAGCGTTCCTGGAGAATATGTGAGCTGAGAGCCATCCGGAATGTAATCGTTACGGGCCACACTCACCACTAAGCTGAAGTCGTCGTCATTGTATTTTCGCGGACCCTGATACTCCTCCCATGAGGTAAAGTTCTCGTTCGTCTCAGCATTCAACCGAGATGTAATAACCCATTCATTTGCCACCAATTCGACTTTCGCTTCAAATTCTGTCGAGTTACTGGTCGGAAGCCCCTCCCAGTAGTTTGTCGTAGCAGAACCCAGAACATTTGCCATGTCAAAGCTACGTCTGCGGCTTCCGGCGAAGGGATCGATGCCGGGGAACAGGTCCCGCAGCAAGAGAAGTGCAAGGCCTGTTGTCCCACCATAGTTGTTTGTGAGATCGATTACGAGCTTAGAAAGGCTCCGGTTCTGAGCCCCTTCAAGAAATGTATCGATGGCCAAGCTGAAGTTGCCGATGTCCCATCCGTACTGGTCAAAGTGTGGAATGCTGAGCACGCCGGTGGAGATGTCGTCGTAGAAGTACCCTGTCACGACACCACCGTTTCCAGTCGCGTCCAGGTTATTCTGTACAACGTCCGGGTTGGCCGGGAATGCTTTCAGACTCTCATTGTAGAAGCTCCGGCGTTGTTGCTGCGGCTCTATGTCAATGATGACGCCTGACTGGTCGCCACCTCCAAACGCCGGCGGCAGCGGAACTTCACCATAGGATGCTGGCAGCAGTCCGAGGACGAAGTAGTTGTAGAAGTCGCCGCCGGTCTTCAGGGGACCGGTGAAATCGGGGTTGTTGTAAATTGCTACCCAGTAGGTCTCTTCGACGGCGTTTACGGTCAGGCTGGGATCTTCGTAGGTGAAGTTAAGCCCGTCTCCAGGGTAGAAGGTACCGCTGCCGGCGAAGATGTTCAGCGCTCCCATTATATCCTGTACGGGGTTGCCCATGATCTGATTCCAGTCGGCATGGGGTTCGAGCATGCCAACTGAGTTCAGCGCAGCATAGCGGGTTAAGAAATCGACAATCGGTTCGTCATTAATGTGAGAAATGGCGGAGATCTTTGTTCCATTGTCCCGGTAATCGCGAACATGAGCTTGATATTGAAGTCAGCGAAAGTCACACATAGTCTCTGACTGCACGGAGTCACTTACATTCGAAGTATATTTTGGGGGTCTCCTTGCCGTCGATTGATGCAGTAACGAGGGACCAAGGGCTCGAAAATGAGAAGGCTGAAAGAATTCCCGCAGCAAGATCAACGTGAGCGTCATGGACTGAATAGACCAGAAGCTGCAGATCGGCTTCAAATTCGTATTGGTTCTTGTAGGCACCTGAAGTTACGTTCGCCTTCAAAAGCTCCAAGCCTTGGTTGAGGTCACACGCAGGTTGTTGATAGCCTTCAGGAGGATTCTTGAGATATGCCAGTGTGCTTTGAAACTGCATAGTCTCGTTGTAGTACTCGATGAAGCGGAGTGCCACGGCGTCGTTGAAAGGAACGCTGGTCAAGCATTCGTATACGTCTGAGGCCCAGAAAATTCGATATCCTGAAATATCGTCAGCATGAGAGGATAGCCTTCACTATAAGTTTTAATATTACCTTCATTCACACCGTCGATGATGTCGCCACAAATCGATTGCGGCGGAACAGACGTGTCAGCCGCATCTTGTCGTCGAGGCAAACTCTTTGGAGCTTCAGATGGGCGAGCAAGCACTGCACCTAAGCAGTGGCTCAGCAGCAATAAAGGGAGGTTGAACAACATTTTGACTTAGTTTCAACCAGACGACGGTCGACTTGACTAGAAAGAAGCTATCAAACACAAACTTCAAGAATAGCAACCGAAGCCGACCGGCTAGACTCTTCTTATTAATCTCATTCCATCCATGAGGCAAAAAGCAAAGTCTACACCTACGGGCGCCATTTCCTATCTAAGATTAGACATTCGGCCCCCATGACCCTGCTAGGCAATCGTAAATCCAGAGCCTGGAGACCAGACTGCTGGGCTGCATCGTGGCTGCATATTGTGTGGCCCGATGTAACCAATGTGCCTCCAATGTGGATTCAAAGACTTGGCCCGTCATTGACGAGCATTTAAGGCTGCGACAAGCCAGGCAACATCATTTCTCAACGTGAGACGTGTAACAACCATGAACTTATGATGATGCCAGCGGGCCGCAGAACAGTGATCCAGAACAGACTTTTTCCGATGGAATTATTCCCTTTATCGATCCAAAGCACCTTTAATTACGGCGTGAATTCTCTGTATCTGAAGACAAGCTTGCGAAGCGTACATATAAAATCGAACAGTATCATGCGTCAACGGCTTGTGGCTGCGGCCCGTTGTTGTAGTTTGAGTGGGACCTGCTTCTAGGGCTAGGCTGCTCGTCAGACGATTACCTTTTTCAATAAGACATGTGGCTTGTTTGGGTCCCGTAGGATTCACGGCTGAGATGTAAGTCAGCACTTAAGCATATTGGTTTGATTAGTTAGGCAAGCAAGGGAAGGTGATTTTGCGTGAGATTCAGCAACTTGGTGAGGCGCAGCCCCTGCAGCCGCATGAATAGCTTGATTTCCCCCTCCACGACCCTGGTAACATCAACACACGCGATTTTTACGAGCCCCCGGGAACGGTAAGGTGATACGCCTGCTGATAGAGCCTTTCCAGGCAGCCACCAAATCTCTGCACCCGTTTCTTGGTGACACAAGCCGCTTGTGGACCCGGCAGTGGGTGTGATGGTTCTGCTTACCACGTGCATACTCGAGCATGGCGTTCTTCTACAGGTGGAAGTGATTGACTTTCTTGAACGGGTGGCCCATCTGCGACTCTTGCTAATCCGATATTTTTTTCCCCGTTAAGGAGCCCTATCCGTGGTGTCCGGTGGCACGGTGAACGAAAGAAACTTATCCAACGTTTCTTGAATGTCGGAAGTCCGCCAGCCACGTTTAATATTTGAACTTTGCTACTCTGTTGGGGCCAAGCTACAGACGTTGCGCCGTTTCGACCCTGAGTCTTTCCAATCCCAAAACGGAGACCCCAAAACATGGACACCGTTGAAGAAGAAGAAGCGCACCATCCCGCGGTGAGGGAACTGTTCGAGAGTCGGTCAGAAATGCACCCCGCATTGAGCGAGTCGCACGAACCGGGCGCACATATCTGGCAGCCATTGTGGGACTGGGTGTTCATGAACGACATCTTTCAATGCTGGCAACGGGATGACAACAAGTGGATGCTGCGCTGCGTCGGTAGACCAGGGTCAGGCAAGGTGCGTACAAGTCGTTTTGGTTTTACCTTTTCCCTGGCATTTTCCTTTGCGTTTCTTTCCTTTGTTTTGCAGGTTGCAGTTTGCAGTTTGCATGAGGGTCACGGGCCTCGAGATCGTCCCATGGGTTGATCGGATGCCAAGACGCTGGTTGGCGATGCATCACGCTGATAGAATTTATGCGCTGATTACCTACTTACTGACTTACAACTCATGCCATTTCAGACGACCTTGTCCGCGTTGGCGACTAAGAGGCTGAGAGAACAATACCATGGGGAGAGGGAAGCCGTCGCCTCAGTCTTTGTGCGGACGGACGTGGCCTCGGGCGGTACCGCCTTTGTGGAAGACGTTCTGACGAGTATATTCCACCAACTGTGCGTCAACCACACAGAGGTCGACGAGGACGAAGCGTACGTCGCAAAGTATCGACTTTACCTCGACGCTAGGAAGCACGGCCATCGCGACATCTTCCGGATTAAGCTTATGCGAGAGGCGCTGCAGTCACGACTTGGCATGCTCGATCACGCGTTCCTTGTCGTCGACGACTTTGACAGATGTAGTCCGGCCGTCGACCTGTTCCTTGAGAATGAGCTGGCCATCTTGGCGAACGACTCAAAGCTCAAGGTGCTCATCACCTCCCGCGTCTCATGTCTGAAGACGATACCTACTTGGCAGTATTGCGACTCTTGCGAAGATAAGGCGACGAAGTTCCTTCATGTCTATTGGCGATGTGAGAATTGCAAAACGAGAAAGGTGAAACTGGATTCACACATCCTCTGCCAAGAATGCAGAGACAATGGCAAGGCATGCATCAACTGGTGAGTTTACCATGGCCGTGCCAAACTAAACACTGTCTTTGCATACTTCACCCATTGTTATGTTGCTTTTTCACTTCATGAAATGAACCTTTTTCCATTGCGGGAAGACATGCGGGTCTTGTCGAACCAAGTTGGAGTTGAGACTCTCGAGTCGAATAAGGCTGACATCCGAGGCGAATGCGAAGCGGGGACGCCGCAGACTTCGTCCAACCTTTTGATCATATTGAGCTTGAAGTCGACTCCGATTCCGCCATGGAATCGGCCGCACGATTCATCGATTGGGACCTGGAAACGGAGCACGGAGACCTTGGCCTGGGCAGTCGCAGCAACAGCAGCCGGGAGAACAACGCAGACGAGCTACCACCACTCTCCGCCTTTGGCAGACGGCTGGTTGACCCCCGAAACCATGAAGCCTTTGCCGACCTGCGAGACCAAATTAAAAATCAGGCCCGCGGCAACATCAGTCTCGCTCGTCTGCGACTGGACGGCCTGCACAAAACCCAATCCCTCGACTCCGTTGCCGTCCAGGCAGATAAACTGCCTGCGAATATCGTCTCGTTCTTTGACGCCGGCATTCGACGCATCGAGGAGCAACCGCCTGGACAACGAGACCTCGGCTTGAAGGCGATTGCCGCCGTCGCGCATTATGATTTTCTGGAAGGTGGTGTAGCGTATGAGATTGTTGAGAAAGTCCTTCATCGACCTGCCAAGGCCTCCGCTCGAGCTTCCGCCAAGAGAGCAAATTCAACTCCGACGGTATCATCGCCAGTGAGGTCTAACAAGACTTTGACGGCAACCAAGAGGCCAGAAGCAACAACGTGGGTTCATGTGCCTCATCGCAGCCTCGAAGAGATGCTGCATGCAACGCGTGGGTTCCTGGAGTTCGGCAACCAGGATCACCGGCCGCTGCGGGCCTATTGTGAGGCCTTCCACACGTACGCGCAGGAAGACTACAATGAGTCGCTCGTATGGGCGCACGCGCAGCTCGACTTTGAAGGAGAGGGCTTAGCGGAGTTCGGCAAGAAAGGGATAAGGCGCTCGCGGACGGGCGTCGCGCATTTTGTGGAGAAGAGGGACCAAGCGATGACGCCGGGGCCTTTCCATCAGGAACCACCACCAATCTGGACTGATAGAGAGATGGGTGAAGGAAGAGGAGGGGGAGCTAGTCTTGTTGGTGGTGGCTCAGGTGCGAGCCGTGGTAACGATTCCGATGCTACCGTTACTGCCGCCGCCGCTTCTGACGGCTCGGGAGCGCATGGGGAGACCCCGTTGCGTTCTGCAGCGGCTGTGGCTGCTGCTAAGCGGAAAATGGTTAAGGCCTCCGACTTTGAGCGTGACCAGACCTTCAAAATGGCAAGGAGGGGCACGAGCTGGGCCTGATTCAGACACAGATATGTTCGACGTTTACCTTAATCGATGTCTGGTGTGACTCCATACGGGGACTGGGGTTTCGGTTCGGCAGTGACATACCGCAAACGTTGGCCCATGTTACCCGATTAGGGCAGCGAAGAGAAACACATTGAGAGGCTTGGAGGGAGACAGCGTTTGACGTATGGAGACGTTTCCGACGGGGACGGCGAAATTCGAATACAGCGCCCAGAAGAGAAAAGCTTGAGCACGTGTCAGGTTCGTTCAATCAAGAGTGAAGGCCACTGACTGGTGGTGGACCGCGGGGAAAAGACAAGTGAGAGATTGCGAGAGACAGGTGAGAGAGAAGAATGAAGTCTTGTTTGAGGGTTCGGCTTGGGTGACAAGGCGTTGAAGGCTCGCCTAGGAGCTGGCATCGTCCCTGTTGATTCCCTGTCTTGGTAGACGATCCTTCGAAATCGAAGACCCAACAGTCTGTCTGTTCCCAGAGACGTCATCCAGCTACCCCCCTGTAACATGCCAGTTTGAGCAAGTTGAGCGGTGCAACTTCGTTCCGAAACCAGCCCTACCTGTGGTTTCCCACCTTTGGTGCCGTAGGTGCCTTGGTGTGGCCCATTTCTGTCGGCCCAGGATCTTTCCGTAGGAGCGCTTGGGTATCCCCCTCCAAGAAATCTGATGTGCCTGTGTGTAAGTGTGTGGTTGGTGTGTCGTGATGTATGCACCTACGTCGTGGAAGAGTATGTGCGGTCCTCGTCTCCTTTGCCCACCCAAGAGAGTTGCAGGTCCACGTGCGCCAAGCAACAAACAGGTTTCAAGATTATGTATCGAAACAAACTCCTCGAGAGTATAATAGTTCGTCCCGGTCGCCCCAACCATGTCACTGTAATTTCTGTATCTCATGCCAAGTTGATCTGTTTTGTTTTGACCCGCCTACTTTAATTCGCTTCCCCTGTCTATCGTTCACCTCTTTTTCTTCGTGTAAATTATTGAATATTCAACACGCCTTTTCCCACTCTGAAGGATATTTCTCTGTACAACTTTGAACTTGGTGGTACGCAAAAAGGACTCGTCACCATGCAGCTCTCCACGACTCTCGCGGCCGCCGCGGTGATGCTCGCCGGCCTCTCGGCATCGGCCCCACTCGAACGCCGGGCCTTCAGTGCCGAACTCCCGATCAGCCCGGAGCAGATCAAAGTCGTGGAGGAAGAAGCGCGAGGATCGCTTCCCAACTCTGCGCCGCCGCCCAAGTTGGAACCAAGCAGTTTGACGGCTTTTCAACTCATTCAGTTCAACGAACAATTCGAGGTCGCCTTCTTCTCATCCATGCTGGAAAACGTCACCAATGGAGGACCTGGCTGGGAAACGACCGAGAAAGATAAGATGGTCGACGCGCTGAAGGTTGTCGTTGCTGTAAGTTTCTCTCACCTTCGGTCAGCGAAGAAGCATAAAGAGAGTTGTCATCGGGATTCGTGAATCTGGCACTGACAGCTATGACAGCAAGAAAAGCTCCATGCGCTCGACGCTAAAGGTGTCTTGGACCACTTCAAGGCTTTTTCACCGCCGCCTTGCAAGTATCAGTTCCCGACGAACGACCTGAAATCGGCCGTGGCCCTCGCCGAAACCTTTACCTCTGTTGTTCTCGGCACTCTGCAAGATGCGAACCAGCTTTTGGCAAAGAACGGCGACGCGGGTCCCGTCCGAGCCGTTAGTGCCGTAATCGGCCAAGAGGGTGAGCAGAATGGATTCTATCGCAGCATTCTCTCGCGCCCGCCGTCGTCGCAGCCTTTCCTCACGACTTCTATCGCGCCATTTGCCTTCTCTGCGCTGCAATCTTTTGTTGTCAAGGACTCTTGCCCGTTCAAGATGAACCAGATCGACATTCCCCTCTTTGCTCCGTTGAATGTTATGCAAATGGCAGGAGGAGAAATTGAGGCCAAGAACCAGATGCTCAACTTCGAAGTCGACTTGCGGGAAATCGTCACAGCCGGCCGCTTCCTCGGCAAGGACAAAGCACCTTTGTTCGTCACCTACCTTAGCGGACTCAACGTTCCTCTGAGTGTGCCTGTTTCCAACCCACAGTGGGACGGCGCGAGGATTGCCTTCCAAGCCGAATTCCCCTTTGATAAGAACAGCATGTTCGGTCTGTCGATCGCTGCACTTACGTACGAGGGCAAGTTCACCAATCCCGACGACATTCCGAAGGCGACTCTGGCAGGTCCTGGATTGATCCAAGTCAATAAATGAGAGGGTGTAACCTGTAGGATTGTAATATTACAAACGGAGTGGCATGTTGGCAAGCGTCGTGTAGAAGATCTGGAAAATATCCCAAGCCAAGGCGTTTTTGGCGTTCAAATAATACAGCATAGACTAGCAATTTCACTTCCAAGCGTTTATACAAGTTAACACTTCATGAATTTGACTTGACTGCCTACTTCTATACGGCCCAACAAGAAAACAGTATCAAGGTTAAGGTAGCACATCACACAACCTCACATCTCCTACGTTGAGTCAGTGTAGCACTTAAGTTACAATAAGATCGCGTTCAACAGCGGCCTTTTTTGGGGGCTAACGGTGTTGCTTAACAGTTTGCCAAGTCAGGAAACGACTTACCCGTCATGTCTGCACTCCTCAATCCTAATCTAAGCTGATCGCGTCATGACAATAGCTACCACATGTGAGCTCCGCTGTCAAGCATCTTTAATGACCGTACCTTCTTCTTCTCGGCTTCTTCAGATAAGAACGGGAGGTCTCGTATACCAGCCGATGACGCTAGTATGAAGTGTTGGAGAACATCAGACGATGAGCCCCTTACCGAGCACAGAATGGCCTTCCGACCTCTCGACGCCAGAGGGGGAAATCTCCGGCCCGATTGGGAAATCTTTCGCAACTACTTAGGCCATTTCTCATTGGCAACGAATACGAGCAACTTCAAGCAACTAATCGGCGCGGAAATCGCCGTGTATGTCATTATTTCCACATCTCTGTTCAGCAGGGTAGACGTCGGGCATGTGGTATAGATCACTCCGAGGCAGACATGATCTCAACGATCCATTAAGACAATCACTAAGATCGCCAGAAATTCGTGTGTGCACCCAATGGCAACGAGAGACAGAACGCGATAGCGATTCCTTGTCGTGCCCCCCTTCAGTTCTCGGGGCCGTGTCCCTGTGCACAGAGGAGGTCCTGTCACACGCTTCGTCTCAGACCACTGTCAACACTTCAGATTCAAGGGTTGCCCTTTTGACAGTTCGGACGTTTGTCTATTGTGCTGCAGTCGATGCAGTGCCACGACACAGGATAGCCCGGAACGGCTGGCGGATAAGCTCACTAGGGGTTCGGTACACAATGGTCCCGAACAGGAAAATCCGAGTTGTGGGTTGCGCTCAAATACCCCAGAAGCTTAGATCTGTGACGAAAGGACTAGAATTTGCTGATCGGACTGCATGACTGACGACAGTTTTCCCGACGTAGATATGTCGGCTGATCAGTTGGCAGTTACTGTTGTTGGTCTCCATTCCGTCACTATCCGGGGCCGTTCCCAGCCCGCCGGTGTGCTCAGCCCAACCATCTGTCACGGAATGCGAGGAAGAGGAATTGGAATGATTGATCATCGGGTGATTTATCAGTCGGAAGTTGAGGAGGAGGAGGGGAAGAACCGATTCGATCGCCGATAGAGTAAACAAGGTGGGGGTGGTCGGTCGACTTTGGCCTCGGGTCGATGGCAGGCTGGAGAAACATGTGTCCCTTGCTGAGTTGCCAAATCCCGGTATCAAGAGTGAACGCTCTGCAATGGCCAAGATGCCGAATATCCAATCCGGAGTAAGTTCTTGTCTGGAGGGTGTCCCAAGGAAGCTTCGATCAACTAACGGGCCATGGAACGGCGATTCGTGACTTGTCTCTAGGCCGAGTCATTCTTCCCGGAACTCCATGTCGGAGCGCTAGCTCGCAACGGCGGTCAAATCTGCTTGGCAGTAAGCTTATTTGCTCTCAACCGGGGGACTTTCAATGACTAAGAAACTCTGATCTCTTTCTTCCCGCGGTCTAGGCCGGCAGATCACTGCTTGTTTCCGATAAATCAGGGGTAGAGCAAAGCCAGTAGTTGGTCATAGTCGTGAGATTGGTTTCGTGTTGTGACAGAGGCACGTGAGGCTCCAGTGTCGGTGACTGTGCGGCACTCTTTGGCTCCACAGAATGAGTGGTATGCCAGAAGAAAAATGGCAAATTGACACATGACTTTATCTGCTCGCAATTTTACTCGTCATGGTAGTTACAACCAGACGCCGTTGTATCCTGGTTACATATTAAGTAAGTATGCTGTCAAGTAGGTGTAAGACGCAGGGTGGGAGCCTGAATTTTGCGTTGAAAGTAAGTATGTTCGGTCAAGAACCACTCAACTCACAGCATTTACTCAGTACTGACTTGAAGGCAATCAACCAGTGGCCCACGAGGCAGAAATGTTGCCCATACGATCTGGGGTTTATCGAACGCGGCCTCGATATCTAGCTTATGTTGCTACATGTACCAAGTATTGGTGTCTTGCTTAAAGTAGTTACCGAAGCTAGCCATGGCGTTTCTCAGGCATCCACTGGTTGAAACTTGTGTTTTCTTTGTCAGGGCAAAGCTGAAAGTAGATATAGTATCTTGCCTAGGCGTTCAAATTGTTACAGCCCTAGACTTCTTGTCACATGGGCTACAGATAATCCTGAGTCATTGTGTCACAGGTGCAATGGAAGGTTGAACGCAGTATTCTCTGAGCACGAGACTATATAAATTTAGTTTAAAGATATTTGCTGAATGGTGTCTCCATAACAGGCCTGATCACGAATGCTTTTGATGCAGTATTGATATTCGGAGAGCACGGAACACTTGGTTGGCTGCAACGGAATCCATGATAGCAGGAAGTCAGCAGTGGAACCAGACTCTGCCAACAGAAATAAGGCTCCCGCGATAATACAGAATACCAAGATCATACAGACAACTTCTAAGTGCCGAAGAGGACATCTATCCCTGCGGCTGAAACAGGCTTCAAATGAATGGACAAGTAAATGGATGGTGGTTGCGATCCCAGGGTGGTATGTTTCAAAATGGCAGCAGTACATCTATAGTGACCTTGGGGTCGTTGACCTTATCTGAGGAAAATACATTGTATTCGATGTTCTTAGAAAGATAGGTTTCAGCTTTCAGCAAAATGGCTTGAGGTGGAGAGTGGTCAGCAAGATGTTTCGTGATGGTTAACAGATTATTACATGTCCCCGTTGATCCTATTGAAAGTTTCATCCAGAAGGCATTATTGCAGAAGGCCCCGAACATCTCTACTTTCAATTCAACCTTTAAATCATAGTGATTTGGGTCAATCCTTGGTCACTCTCGTGGGCTGACAAGATAGCGTGTATGACATCTTGGCTTTTTTTATCATAGCCTCTCTCTCCTCTAAGTTTCAACCACCCGATCCTGCGATACGAGTTTCCGAGATCGCCAGATTTCTTGAGAATGAGACAAGTAACGTCATTCGCTTTATCAGAACGGCCTCTTTCAAGATCCCTCCATGTAATTTCCTGATTTCTTAGGGGTAGAAGTGACGTCTCGCCGGTTTTATTCAGACTGTCTTCGACAGCGTCAAAGTAAGGCCACGTCGTGAATGGAGGAAACATTTTGTCTGTAGGGACAAAATGAATACACCCATTCCCTGTAGATGAAGATGTCCGCTTGAAGGTAGTAGAGTACACCTTCGCTCGTAGCGTTATGCTACCACCGGTTATATTGACCATGTCTTCTCCCTCATTTGTCGTTGTTACACTTGCGTCGATAACCTCAGCTAGAAAGTGATTCCCATGGCCAGGCGATGTTGGCTGTACTGGCCCATCAATAGATGCCCAAGACCAAGACGGAGCTCTGTATTTACTCGTGATCCTCGACTTTGGCATCCATGCATACCAATCTAGCTGGTATAGAAGACGTGAGCGCCACAAGCCGGCAAGATAAGTATCACCTGTGACCTGCCGAAAGAGCTTGGCAATCCCCCCAAGGGCGTAAAGCTTATCCTCTATTACCGTGGATTGGCATTGCGAGTAGGTAGTGACGATATCGATCCAAAGATCCAAGGCATCAAAGGACATCAAGCCATTGGTCTTGAGCTTATCATCCTTTTCTTGCGACGAAAGGAGGCGCTTGATGCTCTTCGAGGATTTATGAAGTGGAACTCCTCGAGGAAACCCCTCACACCTGTGTTCCTCCAAGCACTCCCACATCACTTGACTTTTTGTAAAGTAAATCTGCCGTGGTGACAAGAAACGCTCCTGGAACACCCATCCCCTGCTGTGCAGAGCACCATCCTGAAGGTGGCGGTCCCAGTATCCTTTATCAAACATGTAAAATTTCCTTGACTCTTGAGGAGCAAGCTTTGACGTGACGATACCTGGCCGAATGTCCCTTGCTAAACGAGATCGAAATAATCCACCGGAGGGGCTGCTCGAAGCAGAGGCTGCGATATTGCAAGCTGCATTAGCATACACATCCCTCATCGTGAGCGCTTCCTTTTCCCAGTCACTCCGGCAATTTTGAATGATGCATAGACTGTCTATCCAAAGATACCGAATACCGAGATGATGTGCGACTACAACCAAATCTTGAAAAGTCCGTGGTAGTTCCACAATGGGACTCCCCCGACAGAGTAGTTCCAAATTGTGGGTTGACAAAAGCAACTTTTGAGGCTCAATGCCCCACCGGTAGCTCAATGTCAAATACCGAGGGGAAAACTGACAGTAGCTCGGATCTAGATCATCTGACGTGATGACTAGTTTCCAGGTTGTCTCCCCCTTGGAACCAATATCGACAAGGCGGGTTGGCAGCCAATGGAGGACTGAAGTAGGCAGGCGCTTGCATTGATCATGGCCAAGAGAACACGCTTGAAACCAAGAATGAGCAAGTTCAAGAGTTCTTGCTGAGCCGGTGCTTCCTTCGATCTTATCAAACAAGAAAAGATCTTCGTATTCACTCTCTATTGATGCTGTCAGCCAAGGCTTTGTCTTTGACTTTGACAGATGAAGAGATATGCCCTTCTGTTGCAAAACATACCTGACGAAGTGATCATCTTGATTTGGAAATTTGTGATACGGTCGCTGTGAATCGAGGTAGGATCTCGATAGATGATATTCACCCTGATCTGGTCGAGTTTGCCCTTATAATAGTCCCTGTCGACTTTGAATGACAATGGCCGCCATGATTGGGTACTCAAGGTCTCCCATCCTTTCCTTTGCAGTTCACTCAAATTCCACAATTTTGAGCAGATGAAGCAGTCGCCCGACGCTGCCTTCCGGAAACTGTCAAAAGTTTGGTCTTGTGGCGTGATGCAACGATTGGAAGTAGAGTCGCCTGACGTTGGCTGAAATACTTGTGTGCAAACAGAGCATAGAACGACCATTTCCGTAGACATCTTCGAGTTAGAATTAGGTGAAGGTTTCGTTGTTAGATGATACGACGAAAATTGAGAGTTCACATTCATGTTCTACAAGATCTGGTGAAGCGTACTCGTTTCTTGTCCAGGTCAACGAGGTTGAGAGAAGCTGACCCCGCTTCCAAAATGAAATCTTCACATGACTAAATCTCATGTGCTCATCCTCCGATTGGAGTTGTGACGTGCATTGATTCAGGTCAAGTCTATCTGCGAGGACAAGACGATATGCAATCTACCCTATTTACAACCCCTCTCGCGGTTGCATCTCGATTGAAGCATGCGCAGATGCGTGAGAGTTCAGTCAATATCGCCAACCAAACTCATGCTTCGATATAGCCCCTTGCTAAGGAACGGACCGCGGGCTTTAAAGTCTCCGAACCATGAATACAAATACGGAAAGAGCAACGCTCCGCAGTTGCTGACATACAGTCCCCATCTCATTTGCAAGAATGAAGGTAGAGCATCTATCAGGACACCACAGAACTGATTGATTAATGATTACCATATGCCGGTCCCGTGGGGCAAGCTCTGGACAAGGTTGGCCCTGGCAGCGGCGCGCGCGGGCTGCGAGACACCCGCCTCGATACGGCCCAGCCATTCGGCTCTCTCGTCCGAACGGGGCATTAGCATAGCGGCAAAAGATACCTTGTTAATCTGTCAAGGCCTGCCACCGCGCCTAGGGCTAATTGTTTTGGTGGTGTTCCAGTGGGTGGCCTTTGTTGGTACGGCTTCTCTTGGTTGCTGCAGTGCCCGCGTCGCTCACGTTCAACTGGGAGTTGGTGGATCCCGGGCGGCAATTTAGCCTTTTCTATTCAGCGGCTGAAGGAGAAATTTTCAGGAACAGCAAGACACATCACTGGCGTTGGAACGCATCTGCCGTTGTCCCATGTTCAGAGGAATGTTCGAGGGTTGGTTAAGATTAGGAAAACTTGGAGCATTCTCAGTGCTAGGAACTCAGACTTGCGTGCTGAAAATTATTTCTGGGGCCAACGGTGCCTACTGATAGCGGATCTCCCTCAGGCTTCAGGAGAGTTTAGACTTTAGACTCATCGGACAATCGCTAGGATCAAGACCTCAGCTTAAGCCCCATCAGGCAGTTAGATCCTTGCGAAAAGTCCCTTGTTTCTCGCCTCCTGGATCTCCCAGAAGAGCAGAGATGTCATCTCGGGCTGTCCGTTTTCGAGATGGCAGGGTTGCCGGTCTGACTCTTCGCCCTGGAACCCCTGAAGCGCATGAATCGTCAATCGCGGCTGTGGTGGAACACTGTTACAAATTCTACCGAGTGCTTGATATTTTTGGCGCATTGTCGCCGGAAGCGCTCTTACATTACTCAATTCTCAGGCCTGCACTTCTTGGACAGCATCTGTTGTTGTGGAAATATGCTTTGAGAGTGGCCAGTTCTTGGGGTCTTATACAGCCCATCAAGATCTTGCGTGTCTCAGTTTGCGTGTACAAAATTTCCCTTGAATACCACGGCCTCTTGGAGACGCCTCGGCGTGTCCAGTGGGGGCGCGATATCGACCGACGACATGGCCCCCTCGGTGCAACCGGCCGGCAACAGGCCTGTTGTTTGACGTTCAGGAATTTAGAAGTCAGACTAAGTGGGCTGGACTTGGTCTCCATCTTGGGGTTGTACCCACATTCACCCGGAGAGCTTTAAAGATGTCACTCCCTGCGGTGTGTCCTTCGACATTAACCTTGCATTTCTCTGTTCGAGGTGTCTTGTGGTTATTGTCAACTACCGCAGATGCCTTCGTAGGCATTGACTCTCACGTGCACGTGAAGACTGCCTCAACAATTCGTAGGCCAGGTCTCCAAACGGCTCTTACAATGCCTTATCCCTTCAGAAGGGCACAGAGTATGTCGTCCAACATTGGAGTGCCATTTGGAGATCCGTTACTAACCTCAAGGCAATCCAGCGTTGCCGACTCTGTCAGCCCAAGATGAATTAGAAAACGCCTCGATTCTCCGCAACGATGCCGACAACGGTCACTTTCGCGGCCTGCCTGCAAGCCGACAGTCAAAGATGAAGGTGCTTATGAAAGTTCTCTCACGATGGGCAATCACGATGGTCATCATCATCTCGATCTACGTCGTCATATGGGCATATTCAAACAAGACGGTTATGACACAAACTACGAAGCGACAGTATAACGCTCTCATCACCGGTCTCTCGATTGCGCTGGGTCTCGCGGTGGCGAGCAGTCTTAACCACATGGTGGCCGAGCTGAGATGGTGGATCTTGAGCCGTCGATACAGGTCGAAGAGGAAGGTGGAACTGATATTGCAAGCCGACAATCTGAAGCACACTATTGCGTTGGCAGCGAGGTCAAAACGATGGTCGATTCATCTTGCTGCTGTTGGATGGCTCATCTTGACCATTGTAAGAGAGTACCAGGCGCCTGATGTGGTGACTTTGCTGACCAGGCTGTGCAGGGCTCTCAAATAGGTCTCGCAGCCATTGGTCTCTGCTACTCAACAGATACAGCCGACAAGCGAGCTCTACTAGTCCCAGGCAACGTCTCTATAGCCAACATGGCATCTATCGAAACGGAACGGGTCGTCAAGTCCAAGACCCAAGCCCTAGGTGCTTTGCAGTACACAGCAAACAGGTCAGTCCCTTCCACTGTTCTAACATCCCTCATACCGGTGACGTAGCACCTAACAATCTTGAAGTTATGGAACAATTTCTCTAGCTTACAACACGGCGGATATATCAGCAGCCCCGCCGGCCAGGGCGATCCACGTCCCAAGCGATCCCCTCATGTTCTGTACAGATACGCTTTGCAAATACGTCTTCTACGAAACCTCCACCGCGTCTATCAAGGATCCTGACGCCAACCCAGTCACCGTCGCAACAGACCGAAGCGTCAACGCCACGACCAAATGCACAGCTTGGCCCGTAATCGGCGGCGGCAACGGCACATCTACAAACGTAACGGTAGCGCTCGAAAACAACCAGTCATGGGATATCTTCATCCCGAATCGAGGCGGAACCGATCAGACGACTTTCATGACCTACAGCCAGTTCGACTGCGGCGAGGGTTGCTCCATGGTCATGGCATTCGAGGCATCAGATACCTCACCTTGGTACTACAGTTGCAATGTCACTATCGGTCAAGTCGCGAATGCTACACGTGCCGAGCACCAAATCGGTTCCAACCTCACATCTCTCGCCTCGGCCAGTATCGCACTCCAGGGATACGCCGCTTCGTCTTTTGTCAACGACACCAACTTTCAGTACCAAATGTATCCTTCCGAGTCGGTGTTCGGCACGCCTATGAACGGAACTACTGCGGACATGGAGGCAATGTTGTCGCGGTTTGCCATCGGGGTGGTCGCAATCACCGCCGACAGCAACACAGATCTTGTTATCGAGGGGACCATGCCCATGAAGGGCACGAAGCTCAATGTCTCGCACTGGGGGCTGATCAACATGATATTGATCCTCACAGCGACTCTCCAGCTCATTCTCGGCATTGCGGCTGCATTGGTGGCTAACCGGGTGGTGGTGCCTGATGGCGGGGCGGTGGAGATGGCGCAGGTGATGAGGACGATGGCGATTCGGGATCGCACGATGACTGAACCCAGTGAGAAGGGTTCCACTGGTGAACCACGGTACAAGTCATTATGGATATATCGGGATACGCTGTTGTCCAAGGAAGGAGGGCTGTATGATCTGCATATGGAAGAGCAGCGGTATCATGCGAGGAGTGAGTCTGGAATGATTGAAATGAGCCAGCAGCGGCCAGGGACGGGCCGTGAGTCTACTGCACCGTCAACGCCTACGAAATGATAGATGGCGATTACATGATAAGTAATAAAGGGAGGTCAATTCATCTCTGTCACCCGTTCATCAAGGTGTCGTCAGCGTGAAGAGTGCTCTGAGTTATCCAGAGTTATGCAACAGATGAAATGTCATCGGCACTCTTGTGCAACACGTTCAGCCGAAGCACGGCCAACATCGGCCTAAGTCGGCTCGGCGTAGGACCGGAGCTTTTGAAGGATCCATTCGATTCCGATCCCGGAGTACCCGGCGTTCATGGTGGCAGACACGGATACACGGAGTAGCCCCGAAAATGAGACATTTTGCTCATGATTTATTACGTACCCAAAGCATGTTGAGTGGGTAGAACCGCAGCGCGCCCTATTACGCGCCTTGGATGGGTAATCCTGTTGGGAAATCCTTTGACGAATTGTGGCTGCGTGTTCAGGTCCGTTTGATTTCTTGGGGCAGAATTGAGCCTACGAGACCACTTTTGTGATACATTCTAGCAGTAAGAGGATCGTCACTCGAATGGAGTGGCTCAGTAGTGATTGGGCACACGCTGGACCAGGCCACTGGTTCTTGACTTTGCTCCAGTTCATTTTACGAGCGCCCGTTTTTCGGCGCCAGTTCAACGTCACTCACGATGAATGAAGAATGACGCAGTTGGACTGGTCGGCAAGCCGGAAGCCAGGCCGAAATGCATGATTAGCTTCGGCCAAGTGAGGGGATTATGCAAATGTCTAAGCGATCAGGAAGTTTACCCCTCCCGACGAGGGATATAACAACCTGATGTCTCCGGCCTTCTCACTATGGTGTTTTCCCAAGACATCCATTGATTCATATTCTCATTCTCGTCAACCACTACACCAACCTACACAATAAACCAGAACCTGGTACGACGCTCGCGTCAAAGAGCCATGGCATCTATCGCAATGGAAACATCTACAGATCGAGGTAAAGTAGGAGAAGAACGCATCCGGGTGTTCGACTCATCTACCGTACCCGACACCCACAGGCCCTCTTGATATCTTTCATCGATTAAGAGGCGCACTCGGGTGGATTCGGGTACAGGAAATGAGTTGATCTGAGAAATACCGGTGAACTTGATCTGGATAATACCAGCGAAAGGACATGCTTCTTTGGCAACCCCTGCCCCAATGCACGAGTGATGAGATCCTAAGTGTACTAACCCGTGCAGCATCACGCTTGATCTATCAAAATGTCGACTGATAAGATCACCTTCCTCACCAACTGGTTAGGATTGCCCTGCGCGTGATGACTGTTACGAATGTAAGTTGACGAAGTCGTCAGGCACGCTACGCCCTACCACGCTCCGCTGTACCTGGCTCAGGCCAAGGGATACTTCAAAGATGAAGGCATTAAGGTCGCTCTTCTTGAGCCCAACGACCCTAGCGTATGAACCTTCCGACTGCACGAGTACTTCGGGTTCCCGCTGACCCCATCGTAGGATGTTACCGAGATCATAGGCACCGGCAAAGTCGACCTCGGCTTCAAGGCCATGATTCACACTCTTGCCGTAGGCTCTACCTAGTCTGTATCACATTGATATCAATCTAACCCCATCCTCAGGCCAAGGCTCGCGACTTCCCCGTTCTCTCCATCGGCAGTCTCCTCGACGAGCCCTTCACCGGCGTTGTCTACCTCAAGGACTCGGGCATCACTACCGACTTCCGCTCCCTCAAGGGCAAGCGCATCGGTTATGTCGGCGAGTTCGGCAAGATCCAGATCGATGAGCTGACCTCGCACTATGGCATGACGCCCGACGAGTACACCGCCGTGCGCTGCGGCATGAACGTCTCCAAGGCCATCATTGAAGGCACCATTGACGCCGGCATCGGTCTGGAGAACGTCCAGATGGTCGAGCTGGAGGAGTGGCTTGCCGCTCAGGACCGCCCCAAGACGGATGTGCAGATGCTTCGCATCGACGAGCTCGCCGAGCTGGGGTGCTGCTGCTTCTGTACCATCTTGTATATCGGCAACGAATCATTCATCGCTGAGAACCCGGACAAGGTGCGCAAGTTCATGAGGGCCGTCAAGAAGGCGACGGACTTTGTGTTGGAGGACCCAGAGCAGGCTTGGAAGGAGTATGTTGACTTCAAGCCTGTCATGGGCTCCGACCTGAACCGCAAGATCTTTGAGCGTAGCTTTGCCTACTTCTCGCACGATCTGAAGAATGTCCAGCGCGACTGGACCAAGGTTACCAAGTATGGCAAGAGGCTTGGGGTCTTGGACGAGAGCTTCAAGCCCAACTACACCAACGAGTTCCTCGAGTGGACTCTTGATGAGGACTCCACGGACCCTACTGGGGACCAGAAGAGGATGGTTGAGCTGCAGAATGAGGTTTCTTGCCGTGGCGGCTTCCGTCGCTTGAAGCTTCAGTCTGCTGTCAAGGCTTAAAGTTACCGTGTTAGCGACAGCGTGGATGATGAATCGGCATGAAGTTGTCGCCTGATCGAGCCCACGCTCTCATTTAACTTACTCCAGGAACTGTCTGTCATTCCAGATGAGCTACGGTCATTCTTTTAGAAGAAAATAAAAAGGATTCCTGGGAAGATTTGCGCCAATCGTGGGATATGAACATGAATTCTAAGTTCTTGGTGATCTTGTTTCGATAATTGAGTTGTAAGAAAATCGAAGAAATCGCTCGAACATACCTCCGACGTTTGCGCCGGGGGCCAGCAGCGCGAAAGACGGACATGGCCTCGCTTGGCCCGATATTGCTTGGACCCCTTATCTTGTCTCACATGAGTCTATCTGAATTGTGACGAACCGACCATGAGGCATCAATCCGCCGGCCCCGGGCCCCGGATATCACGGCCACCCGCGTTGTATTGGCCTCGCAAAAGTACGTGCAACTTCGAGTCAGCACCGAGCCGTTTCGTATGTCATATCTGGAAGGTCCATACTGGAAATCCATGTGACTGAATATCCTCTCTGGTTGCCTAATGCCCAATGATGGCATCGAGGTGATATCAAGCGGATAGTTCAACTCTCACCTAGATCCCCGCCATAGCAAAAGTCCCCTCTACTGTGTGTGATCGCACCATCGAACAAGTGCGACATGATTTTTCTTGGCAGATGTCTATCAAGTATCTCACCAGGAAACAACTAGAAGTTTCGCGACGCAATTGGCCGTGACCTAATTTCCACGTGATACCAATCCAAGGTTCACGTGGATCTGCTCGGATCCCGTCAACCATCCGATAAGAAGACCTGTAACATGACGGAAGATTCGCAATAAGACAAGTTCCTCGACAGTCGGACGAAGCTGCGCAAATCACAACCCATGGACGTCCCAACAAACCCCAGTTGTTGTACAAGCATGAGGTAACAACCCGGTCCTTACATGGCACCGCCCGATAAAGCTCCCCTGGGCTATGCTTCTTTTTCCCGCCGCAGACCTTAACCGCACCACCCCGTTACCCGCACCACCACTTACTTGATAAGTTGGGAGAAGGAAACGTTGGTTGGCTACACAAAGAAGTGAGACACGAAGATCCGCATGTCGGGTCGTTTCTCGGCGGCGTCTGGCGCGGGGCGAATCAGAGCCTCCAAGACCCCTGGTAACCGCCTCTCGAGTCCTGTGGGTAAAGGCCATTGAAGCTATTCCCCGGTTGGGATTGGTTCGTTCCCCCATGTCCCAGGGACCCGCCAGCTCTGTGGCAGCTTCATGCTTAATTCTGAGTCGATACAACCCAATCAACCACTCATAGGAGCACAGCTAACACTCAGCATTAGGTCTTTTGGCTGCGAGATCAAGGGGAGAAAGAGGAATAAGGCCGTACCATCGATAATGCCCCTCTTCATAATCTGATAAACGCTGTCTTGTTGTTGCCTCCCCGTTTGAGTTGTCCCTAGGATTCGTTCTAGACGATGGAACATGGGTCTCTACCGCAGCTACTTCGCCTGATCCGCAAAGCCACTGCCGCGTCGAGTAGGTGCAGATAATGTTCCTGGATGGAAGGGGGATCGACATCACAACACCCATGTCCGCAGCGCCCAACACGACATTGGAACCAACGCAGACCAGCGCATCAGGTCAACACCGTCGACCAGCTCACAGCCCTGTTGGTCCGGTCTACCAACGCTTTCCCGCCCCTGGGCCCCGGCGGTGAACTTGCGTCTCGACTTGAGGCTCTCTGCGGCCTCCTGGTTGGTCCCCGGCACTTCTCACCGCGGGTCCCTTTAATTCAAACCGCTCAAGGGGGCCCACGATGCGTCTCTTCCAACGAGAGCGCCGGATCATGGATGCGGCTCGCTTGGGAAGCTTGGATTCGAGCTGTCATCGACTGCGGATCTGCCCACCTGCCCAACTTGGAAGGGTAATGGGCACTCGATGTGGTCGCAGCGAATGGGAAAAAGAATGGTTCGTAAACCAGCAGACAACTTTCCTGCAGTGCGTTAGATCATGGTCCATAGATCATGCAGACGGGTTGGACAATGGTATAAGACCGGCCGGTCTGCTGCATCTCTAATGTTGTGTTCATCAAGCATCGCCTTCAAGACGCAACCGGGCTTCTCAACCATCTCACAGGTCACAGTCATTCGTTTAGACACCACCCGCTCGCTCACTGCACAAATCACTTGCTCATCACAGTACCTCACTCACATCCAGACCTTACCTCACGATGCACGCCGCAACAATCCTCGCGCTCCTGCCCGTCGCAGCCGTCGCCGCTCCCTCACGACGCGCCCAGCCCGCACCCCTCATCAAGCCGCGAGGCGCAACCCTCGTGGCGGATAAGTACATCGTCCGCCTCAAAAATGAAGCCAAGACGGGTGCCTTGCAGAGCGTCATGAAGACCTTCTCCGCTGACGCCGACCACGTCTACAACTTCGCCGGCAGCGACAGCGGCAGCATCCCCTACCTCCGCGGGTTCGCGTCCACGCTGAACGCGACTGAGCTCGAGAGCCTCCAGAATGACCCGGATGTCGACTTCATCGAGCAGGACGCCATCGTGACGATCAAGGCCACACAGAGGAGCGCTCCGTGGGGTCTTGCGAGACTCTCGAGCACACAACCTGGTTCGACGACGTATAGCTACGACGAGAGTGCCGGAGAGGGCACTTGTGCTTACATTGTTGATACCGGCATCGACATTTCGCATCCAGTAAGTCTTCTGACCTCACAGGCCTACCAAGGAAGACTTGATTAGCTGACCATTCCAACAGGACTTTGAAGGCCGCGCCACCTTCCTCGCAAACTTCGCCGACAACTCAGACACAGACGGCCAGGGCCACGGCACCCACGTCGCCGGCACAGTCGGCTCCGCAACCTACGGCGTCGCCAAGAAGACCAAGCTCTTCGCCGTCAAGGTGCTCGACTCCAACGGCGAGGGCACCAACTCGGGCGTCATCGCCGGCATGGACTTTGTCGCGACCGACGCCGCCGGCCAGACGGGCTGCGCCAAGGGCGTCGTCGTCAACATGTCGCTCGGCGGACAGACCTCGACGGCCGTGAACCAGGCCGCGGCGGCGATTGTCCAGGCGGGCCACTTCTTGGCTGTCGCTGCGGGTAACGAGGCGGCTGATGCGTCTACTTCGTCGCCTGCGAGCGAGGAGAGCGTGTGTACCGTTGGTGCGACGACAAAGACTGACGCGTTGGCGGAGTACTCCAACTTTGGAGCTTCTGTTGATATCTTGGCGCCTGGCACCAACATCATGAGCACTTGGCCCGGTGGGAAGACTGTAAGTTCCCGCCCTTCACGTGATTGTCCATCTATAAAGCGGCTCCGAGAGGGAAATAGAATTGACTCGTGAATGTGTAGAACACAATCTCCGGCACATCCATGGCTAGCCCCCACATCGCCGGTCTCGCAGCCTACCTCCTCAGCCTCGGCTCGGCACCTTCGGACCCCGTTCAGCTGTGCAGCTACATCGCCGAGACGGCGCTCGACGGCGTTATCGGCCAGGTGCCCCGTCAGACTGTTAACAAGCTCGCCAACAACGGCTTTGCTGGAAACGGCACCGCCAAGGCCACGGATGGTTCCGTGATTGGCAGACAGCTGAACAAGAAGTTTCCCCTTCATGCTTAGATGGACGGAGAGGACTCTTAGATGTCGGGGAGCGGGACTCTTTACCATGGCGAAGAGCCATGAAGACTCGCCTGGTAACATAGAGGGTGATGTGGCGAACGTGACGACGACACGGTTTTGGGTTCTCAGGAAGGGCCCGGCTTATGACATTCTATCATGTAGATTAGATTTCCCATTCAAATTGTACAGACAATGTTATTCGATAAGCCTTGTGTTACTTGCCTCGATCAAAGCTTCATGCGCTTACCTGATTCCGTCTTCTGTGAGGTGTCAAACGGCGAGTCGTCCACTTGCAAATATTGGAATAGATGACTTTTGAAGCATATGCTGATTCAATATCTCATAGCTAGACTCATACACCATTGGAGACAGAGCATGAGATCATGAACCCGTGGCGGCCTTGGCGGCCTGTTGCCCTGCTATTCTTCCATAAACCACGCACTCAAGTAATGATGAGCCTCCCAGGCGGTTGTCACCATGGATGCCGCCAGTAATTTCTCCAGCAGCCCACAGGCCATCAACGACTGTCTTATCCTCTCTCAACACCTGGGCATTTTCGTTGAAGGATGCACCTCCCATAGTGAAGTGGGTGATGGGCGTAACGCGGCCCACGCATACTTCCTCTTCGCGGTTGGCCTCGCCCGCCGGTAGCCGCCAACGGCCAAACGTCCGTCTTCCGAAGGCCGAGTCGGTGCCTGACGCAACGGCTGCGGCGTACTTGTCGACGGCGCTGATGATGGCCGGGCTCAGATCCTTGACTTTCTTCTTCTCCATCAGCCCCTTCCATAAATAAAAGCCCAAATGGCCCTCAGAGACCTCAATCGCGCCCGGGTCCATGAGTAGGGTTATGTCCCACTGCTTGACGTCGCCGTCTTCTTTTGGTGGGAGGTTCATGATGGCTTTGCTAACGTGTTCCCTCGTCTCCATCTCATTCACGAACCTCTCACCCTTGTCTGAAAGCAAGATGCTACCTTCGCCGCGCAGCATTTCGGCGGCGAGAATCTTATACCGGACCTCAGGATCTTTGGGGTCGACGAACCCTGTCGGGTGTACCTGTACGCTGTCCATGTCCACAAACTCTGCGCCAACTGCTTCCAGGATACCATGAGAAGCCGGCCGTGCGTCGTTGGTTGATGGAATGCCTGCCAGGTCTGGGCGGTACTTGGCGAGAAGTCCGTTAGCGTCACCGGCAAATCCACCGACGGCAAACACTACGGCACCTTCCACGTCGTGCTGTTCGCCGTCCTGGACATATTGAACGCCTTTCACGACGCCATCGGTAACACTGAGTGATGTGACCTCGGCAGAATTTGTCAGTTTGAATTCGGGGTTCTCCCCAAGCTTCTTAAGCAGTGTCGTCACGATGGCT